AGGGTAAAACCCCTAACCTATACCACAGTTACTTTGAATCCCAGTCGAATGTAACATTCTGCTTTCTTAACCTACCAACCACCACACAAGATCACCACCACCATCTTGCACTAGAAAACAGGTTCTACACCCAACCTCATTATACATCACCCTTCTGTAAGTCCATCTCCTCCTCATTTTGAAGTTCTCCGACCAAAGCATTAAGTGGAACTGTTGAGAACTACTATTTTGTGAGTTAAAAATAGTCCAATTTCAGATACTAGCAGTTTCATATGTGTTTAACGGCACAAATACCAATTCCAGAATATAGCTCATAGTCTACAAATGAGACAAAAATATGTGCCACATTACCCCACAGACTCACACTTGTCCTTGAAATAGCTGTGACATCCACACAAGTTTCCATGCTAATCTGATAGTTTATGCACGACTTCTCCCTACTATTCACGTACTAATTTCCATGTCTGCTTTCTGACAAATTTATCGAATTCTAGAAAGGCACTACAACAAAGCAAGCCCACAAAATGCAGTCCAACCTCACAGTATATCCAAGTCTTTGCCCTAAATCCCAAGTAAGCAAACAAACATATTCCCTACTTTGTGAGATGCTCTAATTGTACATAAAGACTTAGTGGTAAAGCCCAGACACAAGCGTTTCCTATGGCTTTACAGGACCTAGCCCGAAAAGGCACATCCTCAAGCAAGGGAAATATCCCATACGATTACTCCAGATGGAATACATTAACCTCCTCCTATCTCAGAAGTCTATTGTTTAACTTGAGAACCTCGAAGGTCCCGTTTTCCTCATTCAAACCAAAAAATTCCAAAAAGGGGTCCAAGTTAAGGACATCAGCATCCACGAGCCTACGCCCCTTAGGAGAAAGACAAGACCGACAGGCAGACCGACAGACTTTGGAGGGCTAGCTCTGCCTGCACTGACCTCGCATCCCCCTGGCCCAGTAAGAGGGGCATAACTTGGATCCCGGCTTTGGGTCAGTCTGCAGCCTACCTCGGGCCTTTCTCCATCACTTTAAAGAAAGGTCCTGCCGCAAGGCAACGCCTGCCTGGGCGTGAACACTTGTCTCCTAGGGCTCCATGAGCATCCGCTCCCGCTGTCTGCCCCGCCTGCCTGACACTCGTTCTACCCGGATGACCGTGGCCGCCAGGTCCGCAGCACATCGCCCTCGGGACTGGACCCACGGCCGCCGGGCTGCTGCACTGGCCCTCGGGCCTAGCCGGCCCCCACGGGTCGTCCAGGCCACCGCCCGGCCTCCGGGACGTCTCCTCGCGGCCCGTCCGGCCCGTCCACGGCCGCCTCGCGGGCCCTGGCCGGGGCGCGAGACCCGCCGCCCGCCAGCCCCGCGGCCACTGCCGGCGCCCGGTCCCCAGAGCCAGCCCCGCTCGCTCACCTCCGGATCTCAATGGAGGACACCAAGCCGGCCCAGCCCGCCGTCTCCAGCCAACGGAGCCTCGGGCGGAAGGAACCGCGCTGACGCACGCTCCGGGGCCGCCGGGGCGGCCGCCAATAAGGAAGGATCGTCCGATCGCCCAGCCAATCGGCGAGCGGCTGCCCAGCCTGACGGCCTACGTCACGAACGGTCGCCTTAACAACCGCCCACGGCTCGCACCCGGGCGGAGAACGGGCACCGCACCATCTCTCACCACGGCCGAGCCAACCAATAGCCGGCCGAGTCCCAGCATCGCCGCCTTCCGATTGGCTCCTGAGCCGTGGGGGGGTGGGGAGAGGGGGGCGCCCGCCAGGACGCTGCCCACCCGCGCGGCGGGGCGGCAGGGGATCCCGCGGGTGGAGCCCCGCGGCCTCGGAATCCGACCCGGCGGGCGCGACCTTCCCGTGGGAGGCCACGGTGTCCGAGCTGGAGCGTGGGGATGAACGCGGGGCCGGGTGGAGGAGGAAAAGCCCAGTTGTTCGTACAGAGATCTGGAGGAAGTCACAGAACTCTAGGGGGGTGGCGGGGGAAGAGGGTTTAAAAAATGAAACGTGAGGGGCGGCGGGATGATGGCTCCGGGGGTGAAAGCGCTTCTCTCACAAACCTATCGATCCAAGTTCAGTCCCCCCAAAACCCACGTTAACAGTGGAAGGGGAGAGAAAAAAAATAATCACGACGAAAGTTATCCTCGTGGATATGGGTGGATCTGCATCCCTGTGGCATGTAAAAAAAAAAAAGTGATTCGAGGCCAGCCTGGGCTACCAAGTGAGCTCCAGGAAAGGCGCAAAGCTACACAGAGAAACCCTGTCTCGGAAAACCAAAATAATAATAATAATAATAATAAAGTGAAACGTGGCATCCAGGTACCACCCCCCTCCCCCACCCCCCCTGTGACTTACCCATCATCTCCAGTGGCTCCGGCTCTCTAGGCCTCCTGTCGCACACTCTCTGGATTCTTGCAGAAGTGTCCCGCTCCTGGGTCCTCTCTGAATTCCCTCTGCCCTCCTGGCTGCAGGCCCTTTATCATCTCTTACCGAAAACTGCAATAACCTATCCGAACTGGTCTTCCCACTCTTCGGCGCTTACATCTTCCAGTGCTTCTGGCGTTTCTGCTGCAGCAATCCTCCGCTTAGGCCATAGACCTGCTCCTAAGTCACCAGCCTTTTGCCTACGAAGAACCTGGCACTGACCCCACCCCACATTTCCTCCCTTCAGAGCCCCAGCCCGCCCTGTGTCTCAGCCTAAAGTCACTTGGTCCCGTCGATTGTACTGAATCTTCTGACACCCCCTGTTTATGGTCTTAGTTTAACCCGGATATACCTACCCACTTTAAATTTTGAAATCCTAATTATACCCCAAGGATCACTCATACGCCACCTCCTTTCCTGATTCTCTCAAACGTATGTCATCTCCTCTCTCTCTCCCTCTCCTTTGAACGCCCATAACATTTCCATAATAATCTATGACTTGTCTTACTATTTTATGTGGAAACTTCTTAAGGAGAGTAATTGCTATGTAACTGCTTTTCTTACACACACACACACACACACACACACACACACACACACACTATGCGTGAGGGGGCCTTTCACGTGCCCCTGTCTGTGCCCCGCATGTGCAGCGCACTGCCCATGGAGGCCAGAAGAGGGCGTGGGATCTTCTGGAACTGGAGTTACACAGGCTGCTATGTAGGTGCTGGAAACTGAATGTGGATCCTCTGGAAGAATAGACAGTGTTCTTTCTAACTGGTCAGCCCCCTTAACTCAAATTTTAAGACCCTATATTTTGAAACAGTATATACTATACACTCAGTAGAACTTTTAATAAACCAGAGTATCTCATTAGAGTTGCATAATTGTTACAAAATAGGGATGGCTCCTGTTTCACATAAAGAAGATGTTAATCAACTTGAAGTGACTGGAAAACTAAGATTTCATTCTATCTTTGTTTGTTTGTTTTTCAAGACAGGGTTTCTCTGTGTTAGCTTTGCGCCTTTCCTGGATCTCACTCTGTAGCCCAGGCTGGCCTTGAACTCACAGAGATCCACCTGCCTCTGCCTCCCAGTCTGTATCCCAGGCTGGCCTTGAACTCAGAGATCCACCTGGCTCTGCCTCCCAATCTGTAGCCCAGGCTGGCCTTGAACTCACAGAGATCCACCTGGCTCTGCCTCCCAAGTGCTGGGATTAAAGGCGTGCGCCACCACCACCCGGCCTAAGATTTCATTCTACATCCAAAGCTTGAGCTAAGTGTTATAAAATCGGGATGGCTCCCATTTCACACAAGGAAGATGTTAAGCAACTTGAACTGACTGGAAAACCAAGATTTCCTTCTACTTCTAAAGTTCGAGCTGCTTGGGTTCCCTTCCACTGCCCCAGGATAGAACCTTCGTTCCTATCTTTACCAAACACGCCGAAAAATTCATTCTGTACAGTGAATGGTGGTTAGGGCTGAAAGTAAACGGCAAACACAACACACGTGGTACCGGCCAAAGCGAAGAACACTGGAGAGAACTGGCCAAAGATGGCGATATTTTATTAAGAACTTCTTAAAAGGGGGTATGGGGAGAAAGACAGGAAAGGAAAAGGAGGCAAGAAAGTAGAGAACGAGGGGGAAGGCAAGGCATAGATAAGTCCAGGAACCTAGAAACCCTGTCATATTCTTTATGTGTTTAAAAGTGTGAAGATCTGTATCTCGTTACAGATTGTACAGATTGCTACTGATAAAGTCAGATGTGGTGGTGCATGCCTGTAACTCTAGCACTGAGAAATTAAGGAAAGAGGGACGGTGAGATTGAGGCCATCCTGGGCTACATAGGAAAACCATACATTTGTTTAAAATTCCCTGAAAGGATTGCAGAGCTGTTGCAGCAAAAGACAAAATGAGGTTTGGAAACTTCTGTTCTCAAATTTTGTTCAAGAATGCCAATGCACATGAGCCCTGGGTTTCGGCTTGAGCTCCAACACAGAAAAAAAGTAATAGAATTCTGCCTCATTTTAGATTCTTAAAACAATCTCAGTCGGTATCAGTTTCAGAGTGTATTCCAAAAGAACTATTAGTTTGTCTAACTGAATTTGTGCTTTACAAATTGTATTTTTGGCATGGGTCATGTGTAAAGATGATGAATTATAGCAATAGCAACAACAATTATTACTTGTTTATAACAATACATATTATATTTCTCTGCATGTATCTGTTTTTGAGACAGGGTCTCATGCAGCTCAAACTGGCCTCAAGCTGTTTGTGTAGCTGAGGGCGACCTTGAACTCCGCCCCTTGTAGAGGTGGTTTACTGGCACGCACCACCACCCTCCATTCTCACTCTTTCAGGCTCCCCACCCCCACCCCCACCCTCTGCTAACTGTTGTACGTGCCCTTGCGGTACATATGAACTCCCTTAGTCAGTTGTCCTGTGAAAACAACGTTAGCAGAATCTGTACTTTACAAGTGGGCAAACTTTAGGAAGAGGCAATCTAAGCAACCTGCCTGAGTTCTCACAGCAGAAATAACAAAAGTGAAATGTGACCTTTGGAAGCTGGCTCCCAGGCACACACACAGTGACCCACTGTACTGTTCGTGTTACATAGGGTATACTACTTTGTGCTAGTACATCTTGTATGGTATTGTTGATTGTTCAAGCTTCTGATGGTCCATTGCAAGAAGTTTCACAGAATCACTGGAGAGTTGTACTTATTTCCTGCCCAAGATCCCAGCTGTACCCAAGTTTATATAGTCTGGTTGTGAGCAGTTTTCTCTCACTCTTTGTCCTGCATGATACTATTTATTTTAAATCTCTTTGTAATTTTTTTCAAACAAAGACATTATAAGTAATATGTATAGTAATAGTATATATAGTATATGCTAGTAATATATGTAGTAATATGTGGCTGGTCACATTTAATTTTGAGTAGATAGGATAATAGATTATCAGTCCTGCTGAAGATCAAGAAATATTTACCAAGGACTTATGAGATTAGATCTTCAAATTTCAGAGTTTTAAAAGGAAACTTTCAAATCGCCCACCCTTTCCTGGTATTCTGGTAAGTAGTTTATATGAGATATGCAAAGGGTTCCTGGAAAATCATTTGGCTTATGTTTTGAGAAGTGGGTAGGAAATGGATTGAAAGTTATTCCAGGTACTAAAGGCAAAATTATGAGCATAAGAGTGGAATGGCATAAATATGGGAAAAGAAAATCTGATTAGGCAGAAACTTAAAGTATGAATATAAAAAGTAGTTTGGGGTGTGTGGTTTAGTGGTAAATGCTTGATTATTACATGCATGACCCAGAACCAGGATTCAGTCCTCAACACTGGGAGACAGAGGGGGGGGGGAGAGAGAGAGAGAGAGAGAGAGCTATGAAAGACAAGAGATCTGACAGGTAAGCAGGTCTACAAAATGGCTCAAGGAAAGATGGCTGCTGCCATGTCTGAACACCCAAGTTCAAGGCCAGGAGCCACATGGTGGAATGAGAGAGCAGACGCTCACAAGTTTTCCTCTGACTCCTACACCTGTGCTGTGGTATGAACACACACAAGGAAATAAGTAAAAAGTTAATAAATGTAACTTAGTAAATACATGAAAGGTGGGGAGATCACAGGGAGGTTAACAGGTACTCTCGTGTCCTCTGGATGCGTCATTTCATTTTTGTGGGGGCTAAAATTCTCATCTATTGCTCTTCGCTGGCAACACTAAACATTCTGCCTCCTGGCTTTTAAATTTTCCCCATCTGAAATCAATCGATGGCTCCTTTCTTTAAGTTAAGGGAAACAATAATCAGGGTGTGATGGTACATGCCTGTAATCACCACACTCTGGGGTGAAGAGGCAGGAAGATCAAAAGTTCAAGATTATCCACAGCAGGTTTGAGACCAGGGTGGGCTAAATAAGACCCTGCCTCAGGAGGAAAAAAAAAAGGGGGGGGGCAAAAGCCTCTACATGAGGGTGCTCACAGAGGCCTCTGCTGCCCCGCCCAGTTTCGCTGGTCACTGCCTCTGCTAGCTTCCTCCCTCATCCTCCTTTAATCTCTGTAGAATGTTGGGGAACAGGTACAAACTGCTTGGATTTTTTTTCCTTTGAAAGTGGTTAGTTTAACATTCTGACATTGTGACATGAAGTTGTTGTCTACCAAAACTTATGCAATAAAAAAAATCATTAAAAACAACAAATCCAGGCCAGGCGGTGGTGGCCCATGCCTTTAATCCCAGCACTCGGGAGGCAGAGCCAGGCGGATCTCTGTGAGTTCAAGGCCAGCCTGGGCTACCAAGTGAGTTCCAGGAAAAGGCGCAAAGCTACACAGAGAAACCCTGTCTCGAAAAACCAAAAAAAAACAAAACAAAACAAAACAAAACAAAACAAAAAAATCAAACCAACAACAAATCCTGTAACATTAAGTAAGTTTGCAGTTTTACACTGGGTTGCATTCATAGCAATTTTGGGGGTGCATGTTGCCCGCAGGATTAATTTTCTCATAGGCATTACTTATACAACATACAAATGGCATGTGTAGGGTTGGATAGGAGTATCCATTCCTGAGCTTGTTTTTTGAAAAGGGACCTTACCAATAACCCAGGCTGGTCTCAAACTCAAGATCCTCCTGCCTCAGCAGACCCAGGGCTGGGGGGAGGGGGTGTCTTAGTAAATTTTAGCCAAGGCGAATAATTCACCAAGGAATTAATGAAATAAAAATCAAAGACAAAACAAGGAAAAACTAATTTTGACCCAAATATGACTACCGCTTCTCCTCTGCCGGCAGCTTTGCCTGCCTGGTTCCATTGGATGAATGGAGTGAGGCATTTGAAGGCTTTAGGCAGCTCTTTTGCAAAGAGCCAACTCCCTTTCTTTTATTAACCTTCATCCTTTCTAACCCAGCCTCTCTCCAGCTGGCTCGGCCAGGTTCCAGCTTCATAAAAGCTCCTGGTAGAATAATCAGTTAGGAGGGAGGCCAGGAAGAAATAGGGACCCGCAGAATCCAGAAGCGCTTGTAAAGAGCTAGATATGATCTTGCCAAGCAAAAGCGAAAGAAGACAGATTCATAATGGCCCAAGGGGACTTGCCTGGGGTGTTCCTGAGCAACTGCACTGAGAGAGAAGTTAAAAGAGTAGTCGCTTAGGGCAATACACGGGTGAAAAATATTTTAACACAGAATTACTGTTACAGGTAGGTACAAATGTACAAGGCCCAATTTATATCAATTGCAAATTGTAAGGAATTCAGCTAAGTAGAAACAGAGAAACTCAAATATAGCACAAGCAAGGTAAGCATTGATTGCTTTGGGGGTAAAAGATAATCTAATCTTAGCTGGGAAGCTCCAGGTGCTCCTTCCTGGTCGCATCTTCTGCATTCACCCAGCCTGGATGGATTCCCCGTGCAGGCAGAGTCAGAAAGGGCCCCGAGGGCAGCTGGGCTTCTGACTCCAAAGCTGACTGCGATGGGAAAAGACAGAGACCGGCTCCGGGCAGGTCACCATGGCGTCACAAACAGCATCTGTCACCATCAGTGGTCACCTCGAACTGCCAGCTAGCAACTAGCGCCCCAGCCGTCTTCATGTCTGCATTTCAGTCTTCTTGCAAGAAGGGAAATAAAAGCAAACAGGGCACTATGGAGCCCTCCCCAGAGTCAGCTCCCTTCTCAGTTTCTGTCTCAGCCCCCGGAACTACATTTAACAACAAGGGAGCTCTGGGAAGGGAGGAATAATATTTGTCTTTGGCTATGATGTATCCAGATCCAAACCCAAGGACTGTCCATTTCCGTATCTCCCATGGTATCCTCATAGAGGGTAAATACACACCAAAGTGAGAAACTATTATAAGTTCTTTTCTGAAATGTCCTTAACACCTAGAATTGACTTTAAGCTAAATATACTAAAAATGTATAATATTACACATGGTCCAACATAAGGGAGTCATCCAAGAAACTAATAAAAGGCTCTCACAGTTAAGAATAGAATAAAAGACATCACTGTCCTCATCCATCATTCCTCTCTGGCACCCGTGTGATTAGATGAATGAGTGGCAGAAACTTTTTGAGTGATTTGTAGGTTTTAATTTTTGTATAATACAGTATTCCTTTTCCAATACCAGGTTCTCAGTGCTAATGTGATCCTGCCCCATGAGCTGCCCACAGTCTGAATGTCCTCATATCGGTGAGTTTTTTCTCCCAGGGGAGGACTCTAGTTCTTTACATATCAGCCTGCCCAAGCTGACTGAACTGAAGCTGCATGTTCCGATGCTCCCAAAGCCCATGCCTTTGGGTCCTAGTAGGCAGTAAGAGTCTTCTCATTCCTAGAAATTTTATCCACGTCTCTGCCCCCTCCACCCCCACCAGTTTGCACTTTTCAGACTTAGTCATTTCAATGGGAGGGTGTTAGGAGCTGTTCTTCAAAAAATAACCCCAGTGGCTTCATAGCATCCTAAAGCTAACTTTACCCTTCTTGTGGAAAACAATGAGTTAAAACCTTCTCGTCAAGCCAAGTATTTACCAGGACAAGGTGGGAGATGATCCAATGGTCATAATCATTGCCTCTGGACAGGATCGATCAATTTTCACACTGAGTTTTCTTTCTTTTTCTTTTAAAGTGAAAAATTCCTATTTTTTTTTTAAATTTGTGGTGAAATCTGGAGAACAGTCAGTGCTCTTAACCTCTGAGCCATCTCTCCAGGCTGTAACTGAACTTTTTGTAGACTGTGGACGGACAGTCCTGAGCAAAGAGTGTTTCCTGCTTTAAGTGACAGTAACTCTCCTATGACTCACGGCTTCGTCTGTGGCAGACTTTTGCATTTGGGAGGATGGCCGCAAAGTGACCCACAGTCCTCCTGACAACTCCTGTCCTGCTGCACACTGCAGACCTTTTCTAATCGTTTAAAAACCCTTTGCTACGATACCCACCACATACACCACCAGATCCATAGCCACTACCAAAGGGTCTGCCTGAGTGTCCTCCTCCAACACTTTAATTGCAATTGTCCACTAAAATTTCCAAATGCAGTGTAGCTACTACCACCACCAAAATTTCCTCCTTTATTGTAACTATCACATCCTCCTCTTCTCCCAACCTTAGTTTCCGTACCATGGCCCACTACAATCATGGACAGTCTCCTCTACTCATATAACAAGGGCCACCATAGTTTCCTTTATCGCCTCCAAAAAAAAAGTGTATCATTATCACTCCTCCATAACCACCTCTGTTGCCAACATCTTCACCAACAGAGTCTACTCTTTGACCAAAGTCCCCCCCTCCACAGCCAAATTAACTCCACCACCCGTTAAGTTGCCAAATCCACCGCCCCATGGCCTCCTTGTGATCCAGTATACTGCATTTCTTGTTTAGAAGGGCTTTTCTCACTTTACAGTTATGCAATATCTCCAAACAATTTTATCAATTGGTTCTTGATCATTAAAACTTATGAAATGAAATTTTTTTTCCTTTTCCCATTCTTTTTTCCTGTCTTTCACAACTTGTATAGTTTCAATCTTACCAAACATTTCCAAGTAGTTTCTCAAATAATATTCTTCTGTATCTTTTTTACTACCATGATCAAGTTTCTTCCCTGTTAGATGGTATCTTAGATAGAGTTTCTATTGCTGTAACAACGCACTATGACCAAACAGCAAGTTGGGGGTCCAAGAGGTTTATTTGGTTTATACTTCCTCATTGCTTTTCATCTCCAACAGAAAGCAAGACAGAACTCAATCAGGGCAGGAACGTGGAGGCAGGAGCTGATGCGGAGGCCATGGAGGGGAGCTGCTTATGGACTTGCTCCCCATGGCTTGCTTAGCTTGCTTTCTTGTAGAACCTGTGAAGGCCTAGACTTGACTTTACAGGCTCTACCTTAGGGGAAGGGCAAACATCTCAGACCACCTGCTGTACTCAGTTCCAGGAAGGACCTCAGGAATGTGCCATGACAACTGGAACAGATACAGAGCAGTATCCTCCTGCAGACATCCTGTCTGTGGCGTATGGCCCTTAAAGATATCTAGATAATCCTGCTGAGCAATCCAGATAATCCTGTTTGGTGGGTTGTGGTTCCCCCGCCCCCCAAAAAAAAGTCTAACCCAATGGTTTCAAATGTGGTTTCCCACCCAAAGTCTAGACCAATAGTTTCAAAAAATCACCTTGCCTCATATCCCTTCTGCCCAATCCCAAGTTGCCAATTCCCGGCTTGTGGTTTTTCCCTATAAAAACTCTCTACACCTGGGCTTGCAGCCACCTCCACATTTCCTTCCATCTGCCATGCGGTGGCCCAGGTTGAACCTGACTAAAAGGAACCTTATGTGTTTGCATTGGAAACCTGCTCCTTGATGGTCTCTGGGGGTTTCGCAAAACGGGTACAACAAATCCAGGACCACTAGCCCAGGGGTGGCACCACCCACAATGGCCTAGACCCTCCCACATTGAACACTAAATAGGAAAATACCTTACAACTGGATCTTATGGAGGCATTTCCTCAACTGAGGCTCTTTCCCCTCTCATGACTCTAGCTTGTGTCAAATTTACATAAAACCAGTCAGTACAAGCCCCGCAGTGGTGGTGCACGCCTTTAATCCCAGCACTCGGGAGGCAGAAACAAGTGGATCTCTGAGAGTTCAAGGCCAGCCTGGTTTACAGAGTGAGGTCCAGGACAGGCAACAAAACTACACAGAGAAACCCTGTCTCAAAAAACTAAAACAAAACAAAACAAACAAACAAAATCTAACCAGTACAGATGGGCACTGAGCTTAACAGAATTCTCTCTATTTTATTTTTATTTTTGTTTTTTTAGAGATAGGGTTTCTCTGTAGCTTTGGAGCCTGTCCTGGAACTCACTTTGTAGACCAGGTTGGCCTCGAACTCACAGAGATCCGCCTGTCTCTGCCTCCTGAGTGCTGGGATTAAAGGCGTGCGCCACAGCTCTAGCTGGTTCAAATACCCATTAATCTTGTGTGGTCAAGTACACATGGCTGCATCTACCTCTTCAACCCAAGTCACAAAACCCTCTTTTGGGTGGTGCCACATTCTAACACAGTCTTAGAGTGTGCCTCATCCCTGAAATGTTCTCTAATGAAGCACCTGTAGTTTCAAAGCTTGGACCAGTGAAAAACAGTTTTCACAGCTGCTCTGGTGACAACATCTGGAGTAAGGCTGTAAGCAACTAAAATTCCGCTTATTTGTTCACTGTGTGTCGGTGAGAGAGGAGTGTATATACCACGGGACAAGTGTTGAGATAAGAGGACAGTTTGTGGGGGTTGGTTCTCTCCTTCTGCCATGTGGATTATGAGGATTGGACGCAGGTCATCAGGCCTGATAAGCCATCACACAGCCTTTTATCTCTGTTTTGAGATGAGATTTGCCTCCCCCCAGTCCAGTTCAACATAGAGCTGAGTTCTTGCAAGAGTGGGTTGTTGGGGACTGGAGTAATGGCTCAGTGGTTAAGAGCACTGGCTGTTCTCAACCATCTTCTACTTCTAGTCCCAGGTGATCCAGTGCCCTCTTGGGCTTCTGTGGCGCACAAACATACATGTAGGCAAATATCCATACAGGCAAACTAATTAAAATAATTTTTTTAAAGTGTAGACTGTTAGAACATGAGGCTGCCCTATGTATTGATATGTGGCTAGTGTTCATCCACTTTGTCCCTATGCTGAGAGTTAGCCTGAGTTGTATTATGATATTTGGACTTTCCAGCTGCCAAAATTATGAGCCAATTAAACTTCTTCTTTGTATATTACCCAGCACTTGGAATTACGTTATAGAAACACAACAGACTAAGAGAAGAACACCTTGACTTTGACAGGTCTTACAGACAGCAGCAGTACTTATGTCCACCCTCTTCTACATGGGTTTATAGACCCAGCTCACTTCTCTCAGCTTTCTTCTTCCTCGGAGTGAAGCCTGCTGAGACTAAAACTTTAACCTCTCCCTCTAGTTGATTCTATTCTTCTTCCAGGAGTAACACTGTCTTGGGTTGGTGTCATAACTGGCCTCAGAATTGGCTTCAGCTGTCAACTGGAACGTAAATTTGAAGAATTGCCTCCATCAGATTGGCTTGTGGGGAATGTCTGTGGGAGAATTGTCTTGACTGATGTTTAATATGGGGCGGAGGAGGGCAGGCCACTGCGGACATGATTGTTCATCTGAAGGAAAATCTCAGAAAGTTAAAATAAGAATGCAAAGAATATAAGACAATTGAAAAGGAAAGGACATTATAAGATGGGTTACTCGGCCAGCTACCGTTGTAGGAAATTGACACTCAGTCCCACCAAGACCCCCTGAGGAACACTGTGGAAGGGGTGGGAGTGAGAGGGACTTTTAGCCAGCTCCAGCCTCTTGGTTTGGGAAAAGGCTTCTGGGTCATACCTCCCCAGCTCTGTGCGTGACAGGGCTCAGACACTGAAGCTTCGGAAAAGGCTAAAAAGCATGGTGGCGAGCACATGCAGCTGAAGCTAAGTCATGACCAGGACATGTGGCAAAGGATGCTGTTGTGACTATAAGGATGATAGACTTTTTATTCCCATTGGGTCACACGATTACACATCTAAAACAATGTTTAAAGCTGGCCGGTATTCTAAAGGTTTCTTTTCCCATTTCTGGTTGCCCTTGGACCCTGAACACACTTGGTTCCCATAACTGGCAGCTGGGAAGTACCCTGACTGACACACGGAAAGTGATCAATACCTGTATTTGCTGTTGGTTCTTAAAATAGCTGAACTCTCACCCTTTTTATAAACATTATCTAGCAGAAAAATGTCTAATGAAGTAAATCAAATAGTGCTTCTGTCAGGGAGTACTTCAAAGGACAAGGGAACCAGAGCACAGGCTAGGTAGGAATTCACAAAGCCCTACACGCAGCTGGGATTGCTGCACTCCAATGTCTAGCAGCTCGTCTTTGCCAACAGAGGGAACATATTGTTTGTGGGAGCTACCTTCTAAAATAAATGCAGAAAAAGAAAGGGAATGCCAGCAGACTACAAGCTTCAAAACAAAACGAAAAATTTCCGGGATGGAAAATGTCAGTTAAAAATACCCTTGAAATCCCTATTTCTTACAATAGAAGAATTTTATTTGTACAGATTTAACAGAGGTTCTTATTCACACTAGGTCTGTAAACCCCCGTAGTCTTGGAAGGACTCTATAGATGGCTAAGCATTCCAGCCTTCCTGCTTTTGAGATCTATTAATTCCTTCAGTGAGTGGAAGCTGGACAGGAAATGCTAACACACACTGCAAACACATCACAGCAACATCACTCTTCTCCGTATGGTATTACACTTGAGATTTTCTTGTTGTCAGGACTACTCGCCTATTATTTGTGATATATTTTGAAAATATTTTCTTCACATTCATCACTTGCTTTATTTTTGAGATGAATAGAAGGAATGGCTTTGTGGTGTTGGGGGTGGAGTTCCAGGTCCACATACATGTTAGAAATTCTACCACGGAACTGCATTTCAAGCCTGACTTTTGAGTTTATTCATGATGGTTCTGGCTTTGAAAAAAAAATGTAGCTAAGGCGTGCGTGCGTGCGTGCGTGCGTGCTTGCGTGCGTGCGTGCGTATGTGTGTGTGTGTGTGTGTGTGTGTGTACATGCTCATAGGTGTGTGACAGCCCACTTGCACTTGTGTGTGTAAACATGTGAAGATCAGAGGTTGATGTTGAGTGTGTCCCCCAACAATTCTCCATTTTTATTTTTAAACAAGGACTCTCACTGAACCCAGTGCTTGCAGATTCTGCTAGACTGACTTGCCATGGATGCTCTGTCTTCCTAGCACTGGAAACTGCAGACACATGCTGCTAAGCCTAGCTTTTATGTGGGTGCTGGGGATACAAACTAAGGTCCTCACACTTGTGCAGAAAACACTTTCCAATGAAGTCATCTTCCTAGCCTCAATTTTTTTTTTTAAGATCATGTTTTCTCTTGTTGTATCCAGCTTTTGACTTATGTTTATCTGTTGTAGAATAATCTTTTTTACACTGTGAAGATGTATCTTTGCCAAGGTGCCTTCTGATTGGCTTAATAAAGAGCTAAATGGCTCAGCGGGAGGTATAGACCAGACTTCCAGGCACAGAGAGGACTCTGGGAAGAAGAGCCAGGCAGACATGGAAGAAGAGCCAGGCAGACATGGAACAAGTCGGACACACAGAATGGAATAGAGGTGAAAGCCATGTGGTAGAATGTAGATTAATAAGAACATGCGTTAATTTAAGTTATAAGAGCTAGTTAAGAACAAGCCTAGTTATAGGCCAAGCTTTCATAGTCAATAAGTAGTCTCTCTGTCATTATTTGGGAACTGCCTGATGGGACAGAGAAAGACTTGTTACAGTCATCCTTTCCCACACTCACTGATATTTTTTTCATCTGAATTTTATTTCAGTACTTGTTTAATTTCATTATTTATTCTAACTTCTCTGGTCCCTTTGGAATCCACTCTTACGTGTATTGTGGGGCGTGGACCCGATTTTATTTCTTACTAAATGACTTTCCCCTGGTTTATAAATGCAAACCACTGTGTTCTCTGCAGCTAGGATATAAACTCCCTTAGTCATGCTGAATCACTTCTGTCCACAGTGACTCACACTAGAAGTTTGAGTTCGGTTTGTTGTTTCAAGGGTACAGATTCTCCAGTTGTACCTGATTTGACGTCACAATGAGGCATCAAAAGATGATTATGCTTAAAAAGCACTTTTCAGTTTACCCAGCCTCTGCTCAGGGGGTGTGAAATTTTAAATGTTCCCATGACCAAGCAGTTCAACTTGTAGAGGTGTGTGCAAAGTAATTAAAAAATAATTTCAGGCCACATGAAACTAGTGAGATTTACAACTTAAGCTATTGCTAAATGCATTTCTCTAGAGTCTAGAGACTAGAGAAAGCTGGTTCTCATGGCAGAGTTGCTTTGAGATCATTCATTTCAGCACTGAGCAAAAGCATCTCAGAGGTGCTAACACACAGAACGACACTGGAGGCCTGGCTTCAATGTAGGGCGACCAGCTTATTCAGCCAGAGGGGAGAAACCTTGACCTAGCGGCTCCAAGAGACAGATGGTGGTGGATCTGAGAACAATGGGGAGGATTAAGAAACAGAGCAACAGTACTCGGAGAGACCTAGTCAGTAGCTCTGGATTACAGAATTTAGAAGGGCTTAAAGCGTGGTAGGCAATTTGATGAGTATCTCTGAATTACACATTGTTTCTGTTGAGCTGGCTAGCTGAGGTCACGGGCCTGAGAAATAGGCTAGGGGCTGGAACCGGTTAGGAGTGTTAGAGGCTCAGCATGAGTGACATCCTCCCAGGGTCCCATGTCAAGGACAGAAGTGGGGTTTAGGTCATATCCCTGAAACCTTTTCATCATAAGCCAGGTTTCAGACCAGTCGTGGTGGCATACTTTAATCCCAACACTTGGGAGGCTAAGGCAAGTGGATCTCTGTGAGTTTGAGACCAGCTTGTTCTACATAAAGAGTTCCAGGCCAGGCAGAGTTACATGGTCAGATCCTGTCTCAACAACAGCAACAACAACAACAAAAACAAAACAAAAACCAACCAACCAACCAACAAAAACAAAAACCAAATACCTGGAAGGTCTTGGACAAATCAGGTCTTAATTCAGAAGTAGAGTATTTGCCTGGCTTCAATGCCTCATCAGAGAGAGAGAGAGAGAGAGAGAGAGAGAGAGAGAGAGAGAGAGGAGGGAGAGAGAGAGAGTAGTTGTAGGTCATCTAGACCAGGCATGGTGGTGCACACACACATCTAGTCCCAGCATTAGAGAAATGAAGCCAGGCAAGTGTCTGTGAGTTAGGGGCCAGCCTGGTCTACACAGTCAGTTCCAGGACTACATAGAGAGAGCCTGTCTCAAAAGTAAGAAACAAACAAACCATTAAACCAATTTGCCAGCTAGCCAACTTGCTGATCGCTATTTGAGCCCCGTACACAAGTCTGCACCATGTCAGTCCCTGACTTTCAGAGACAGGGGTTGGATATTGTGGAATGGAGCATGGGATTCAGCCAAACCTTAGCCTACCTCCAGTGAGTTCGTCACTTACTAAACTTCAACAACTACTTATCTGTGAGGTTATTCGCCTTCCAATTTATACTAGTTTACTTAACTATATGAGCAAACACATTGAGAAGGTCATAGAATGTCTTGAAATTCTCAGAGACTTCTGGGAAGCCCACTGGTAGGGCATAGCTTGGGCAGGTGAAGGGTGCTGATGCATTCCCTGCCTCTCTCTGGTTCCCTGGGTCACAGGCCCACAAGTCTCCACCTTCCTGAGGCTGCCTTCTAGCTGCATCCTTGACAGCAACCAGAGGCAGACACAGACAGGCAGGCACTTCCGGAGCCTCGCCACTAGCTCTGTGTATTCAGTCTAGGAAACCCCTGTGCCTTCCAAGAGTATCGGGCACAGGGAGTGCCCTGTCCCAGCGGCCCCTTCCTGCCTTATTATTTGGGCTCTTGACCGAGTTTGTCTGTAGAAGGCCCCTTTCTCCTCAGCCACCTTCTCTGGGGCTCTGGGAAGATGGAATTCCTGAGCCTGTGAGCAAAGAGCGCTATACCATCCTCGGGACCGGGACTTGAGTTTGGATGTGGGGAGAGAGAGCTTCCTCCAGTGCATGTTTGGAGGCAGAAAGGCTCAGAGGCCCAGAGGTGTGTGGACCCCCTTAAGTTTTGAAAACTGTGTCTGAGCAGGAAGTATGTTGTCTCCTGCTCAGGAGACAAAAACAGCAAGCAGGAAGCAGAGGAAGCATCTCCACGGAACAGAAACCGAACTGCGAGCAGGATAGAAAGGTTGTGCAAGGAAAGCGTCACGCCTTCCTTGTCTTCCTCTTCTCTGGTGTCGTTGCTCTATAAATAGCTGAGGAAGCTAGGCGGCATTAGGCAGGATGCTCCTGGAAGCAGACCGGATTAGACACAGAGGGATCATGCGCATTAAAGGAGCTAACTAACTCCCCAGAGAAGCTACGATCGGAGGCCAATCACCTAATACTGTTTCTATGTCTGGCCTTGATTTGGGGCAAAAAATCCCATCTTGACTGATCTGTCTCAAGGTTGTTTTCTCTCATTTCTTCCTGGCTGGTGGGGTTTGCAAGTTTTTGCTAGAAGCTCTTCAAGGGATCCTGATTCCTTGCTTAGAGCCTCATTGCAGTTAGCTATGGGTACAATTCCAACTTAGTGTCTCCTGGCTGGCTTGACTTTGTAGCAATCCAAGGGATTGTGGGATGGGGGTTTTAATGCTAGGAAATTGGATTCCAACACAGCACCACTATAGAAGTAATAAGTTGTAAATCTTGAGGCACTGGCAAGACAGGCCTGAGTACAGAATTATGGACAAAGAGAAAGGCTTAGGACACTGTAGGAAATGAAGAAGAAAAGAAAAAGACAACTAAAACGATTTTAATTATATGTTACAAGTATGTATGTCATAAAGAGATTGTCACAGGGTTAAGCTGCTATCACTGACATAAGGAACTCTTCAGATGAAATGGTGAATGTTCAGAAACCAGTTGATCATGATGCTCCGCTATGGACGTGAAATTATGGTGTGTCATCCCTGTATATTTGTGTGTCTTTTTATGATATTTGTTTCAAAAGTTAAAAGAATCTAAAGACATATTAAAGAGCACAAAATATTGACTGCCAATTGAAAGGGGTCATATAATAGATGAGAAAAAAGAGAGGATGGCTATAGTTAATATGCCATCTGGGGCTAGGGGTGTAGTATAATTTCCCTAGTATGCGTGAAGCTTTGGTTTAAGTTCCCCAGGTCTGAGGGAAAAGTAGGCATCACTGGATTTGTTTACTAAAGTTTCTTATAGAAAGAAAGACTTCTTTAGGTTCTTAGAACAAAAATGAGGGAAAAATGTTGACCTTGTTTCTTTTTTTGTTTATTTCTTTTTTCTTTTTCTTTTCTTTTTCTTTTTCTTTTTGTTTTTTTTTCAAGACAGGGTTTCTCTGTGTACCTTTGGAGCCTGTCCTGGAACTCACTTTGTAGACCAGGCTGGCCTCGAACTCTCAGAGATCCACCTGTCTCTGCCTTCCCAGTGCTGGGATTAAAGGCATCCGCACGCTGCTGCCGCCGCCGCCACCGCCACCACCACCCGGCTTGACCTCACATTTCTGTTGCTCAGATTTCTCTGGGGCAACATTGATGCCAGATGACGATGGAGCCATGTCTACAGTCTCTGAAGAAAAGCACAGCCTTCGAGTGTTAACACCCAGTCACCCTGAACTTCTGCTGTAAATGCAGCATGCAGGCATTTCTAGGCACGAAAATATTCAACGAATACAACATTCATGTATCATTCTTGGATGCAATACAGATGATCAATCTAGCCCATAAAAAGGTGACATGGAAATCAGTGTCAAAGGGACACCAGCAAAAGCAAATGCTTAGAAGAAATGGTAGAATAGCTAAATGTTTTTGAAAGAAAAATTAATGTGTCTGTTTCACACCTCCTAACACCAGGCAAACCATTCTTCAAATACAAAAGCTAAGTAAGGCTGCCTTAACAAGTGCAGAGAATGCATGAGACATAACACTGATGAGCACTCTTGAAAATGCTACTCGTCTAAAAAACTCAGTGAGCCAAGAAATGAAGGAATATAGAGGTCTCAAGTCTGAAGACAAAGTGGTAAGAAGACTGGTTAATTTGCATAAATTTAAATACAGACCTAGAACAAGAATATTGGCAGAGATTATTGTTACGTTACAGCACCCGGGAGGCCTTGGCAGGTTGGGCCAAGGTGCCCCGGTGGGTGAGGGAGATACACCAAGCAGATGCGGCAGTGGGCTACGGCATGGAGCGATGGAGAGTTACTCACACCATGCAGACACATGTCCACCTGGAAAGTTTATTATTAAAGGGAGAGAGAGGAGAGAGACAGAGAGAGAGAGAGAGAGAGAGAGAGAGAGAGAGAGAGAGAGAGAGGTGCCATTACCTCTGGCTAGAGGGGGGAGAGAAAGTGTGGAGTGGGAGGAGTTTTTTCTTAAAGGGGACTTTACATAAGATGATGTCAGGATGCTGGGTGGGTCCCCAAGGGGCAACAGAATACTCATATTCCTCCATTTTTTGAATTATTATAGAAAGGTGAGTTTTTGATAACAAATGGGGGAATAAGGGCACTAAATTCTTAAGACTGCTTCCTGCTGGTTTGGAGGTGAAGTGGGAGAGGGAAGCTGGGAGCCGGGGGTCACACATGGCAGGAGGTGTGAGTGAAGAAGCATTCAGTTAGCTGTCATGGTGGACATCTCAGGCATCTGCTCCTTGAGGGGGCCAAGAAGGCAGGTTGCTAGGAGAAAAAATAGATTGTTATCATTGGCCTCATGAGTGGGGCTAGCCATGGGAAGAGTGATAACTGCCAGAAAGAATGGGACAGAGAAGTGCCCTGGTTGTAAAGAAGAGGCAAGGTGAATGACCCAGAGGATAGAGCAGATATGCCCTTGAGTCTGGAGGGGTGGTACCAGCAGTGATGTTCCATGAGCTTGGGAATGGCACTTCAAACTGAGGGATGAGTATGGAGCCTTCACATCTGCTGTTTCTCTGGATGTGGGAAAAGACCCCATCCTGGTTGTTGTCCTCGGTTGGTTGTTAGCATCATCAGAGCTAGTGCAGGGGCTGGCATGTCTGGAGGACACCCC